AGCAAAGGAAAAAACATTATGGACCGCATCGGCCAAAGCGGCGAAACGCCCAGGATTGGTCGATGTGCTGCCTAAAGTCGTTACCCTAAACAACGCACCAAAGGCTGTTGCAAAACACAACGCGCCTACAAGCCGTTGCTCAAAGACAACGCACCTAAATATCGCATCGGCCAAAGCGGCGAAACGCCCAGGATTGGCCGATGCGCCTCCTAAAGCCGTTGCCCTAAACAACGCACCAAAGGCCGTTGCAAAACACAACGCACCTACAAGCCGTTGCTCAAAGACAACGCACCTAAATATCGCATCGGCCCAGGCGGTGAAACACCCAAAATGACTGACGATATGTAGGACGAAGGACCTGTGTGTATGGTCTGACGTCTTCAAACGGAGAAGCATACCGCGTCGTCCGCGCGGAAACCGCAGGACTACAAACCTGAATTAAGGCTGAGGCTACAAAAACTCCACCCATCAGTAAAATTTCTCAAGGACCACAAATGGCGGCCGTCGCAAAACACTAGCTAGCTCGGTCCCTCATCGCCGATAGACGTGGAAAGGCCAAAAAAGATGCCACTGACACACTAAGCCGAGGGCATGATTATCCCCTCGTCTTATCACACTCAAAAAGCGCAGCGGAAAACTACCGCGTATGGGCAAAGGGACAGTAACCCTTCGTCCATACAACCCCCCCCCCCCCCCCCCCCCCCAAAAAAAAAGAGGGAAGCTGAAGGACCGTGCACTCGCCGGCCTCGAGCACAAAATAAAATCCCCAAACCAAGCCACAAATTAGCTAAGTACATATCAGGATTACCATACAGGAACCCGAAGTACACGTTTCGTCCCAACCACAAGTTGAGGAATCAGGTGCGGTCCAAGGGACCGCAACGGCCCCACACAATGAACAAATCAGACACTACGAGTACGAAAAGACTATTCTAAAAGTGAAGACAAACAAGTACCCCTATAAGTCACTACGGCCTGTGATAAACATTCAAGAGGTATCGCTTCGGCTCAAACAATACAAGCCCACAATTCTAGCACTTGGAGAAATCATATAAAACAGTTAAAGGGAAAATGAAGACACCTAGGATGATGAGACGCATCATCCCCAAGAAATCTTCTGGTGCTTAGAAAACTCCCTAGGAAAACATCACGATATAGACAAAACAATGAAACAAAAGACGTCACGGGCCCAGAAGAAGTGCTTGGAACGTTTTTGGTGCTTGGAAAAATTCCAAGTACTTTGTACGGGTCCACATCCCATACGTAGGGGCGCATCGTCCCCAAAAGAAGCACTTTAGGGAGAGATCGCATCGTCCCAAACATGCAAGGATGAACCCATCAGGTACTTAGAAAATTCTTGGAAACAACCAGAAACCTGCTTATGCAAAACAAGCATCTGAGACGATGAGGCGCATCGTCTTCATAAGCAACGACTAAACACAGGACTGCCACGTCTCAATAACCGGAAGTCGGTACCCCCCAAAAGCAAGATCCTAATACTTAGCAAATTTTCGAACACAAATCCAAGAAAAGTAAAGCATACATTAAAGACGACACGATGCGACAAATGATACTTGGAAATATTTTTCATAGAATATCATGTGCAAAAATACAAGAGAAGGGCGCTTCGGCCGATACATCTTTACAAGGCACTACGGCCGTTAAAGTAAAAAACATAACAAGAGCATGAGGTCACTAGGCTATATCTTCAGCTTGCCCTTGGCCGCCCTCAACAGCCCCGCTATCGGCATCATCATTAACATCCTCGGCAGCCTTTGAGTTGACCGAACCCTGGAAGAGATAGTCGTCGCTTTCGGTCCAAGGTTCTCCTTCCTCCTCAGAGCTGAGAATGGGGCGCTGCCTTTCGGCTAAGGGAAGCTTCAGCTCCTCCTCGAGGTCCTTCATCAGTCGGGGAAGGCCGATACCCTTTGGCTTCAAGTTCTTTACGTGTCAGCGGAGCCTCCGGTAGACCAACATCTGCATACGACGCTGACCGAGGTCATAGAAGACCTCCATCTCTTGCTTCCAAAAAGCCTGGCCGGCCGGATCCTCTTGCTTCCAGGCTTGAAAGCGATCAACCACCACCTTAAAGCAGAACTGGCGATGATCATCGACCTTCCACCCCTCGGCCATGAATAGATCTACAGCCTTCTCAGCGGTTTTCTCAGCTTCGACCTTCAGCTCCTCGGCCTTCTTCGCTTTCTCCTCGGCCAGACGGCGCGCAGCCTTCTCGTCATCTAACTTGGCCTCGGCGGCAAAGGCCCTTTTCTCGACCGCATCGACCCTCTCTTTGAAGGAGCCAAACTCAGACCGGAGGTGCTCCAGGGAGGCCAGAGCCTCATCGGCCGAGGCAGCTTTCTTCTCAGCCTCCTGCAAATGAGCAATTTCTTCCTCTTGCCGGCGATGTTGCTCCATCTACATCAAGGTACCCTATAAAGGAAAAACAAAGTCAGCAAAGAGACAAGAAAAATCATTATGTACAAAGACAAACACTTACTCGGACGACGTAGTCCAGTCCACCATCGAAGAGGCGCACTTCTTTACCCTGCCGACGAAGGTATGCCCGATCCTCATCAGGAATGGCCTGGAACAGCACGTCATGGCCAAAGACTTTCTCATTGAATAAGCCGCCCTTCATCGGGTACCTGAACGTCACCTCATACAAGTCGGAGGCCAAGTCGCGGCCGGTGCGGGTGCTTGCCTGGACAGTTTTCCCAGAATTGAGAGACGTAGGGACGAGGGCAGCCGACGCCGCATTCAGAGTCAAGTCCTCAATCACATGGACGTCAGGAAGGTGCTCTTCTTGGGCCGCAGCCTGTACAACGGCCGAAGCACCACCTCCAGAGGAAGGGTTCTGCTTCGCCTTCTTGGCCCCTTGGGACGGCTTCAATCCCGCTTCGGCCAAAGTCTGCTGGCCCTCCGGCTTCTTCTTTCTCTTCACCGACGGTTTCTTCGCCGCCTCGGCCTTGTCCTTCACGCCGTCGGCCAAGCTTTTAGACGCTTCAGCCTGCTGAGCAGCCTGCATCTCTTTATCCACCATCTTTTTAGCCTGAGTCATGAACAATTTGCGGCACATGGTGAAGTCTGCAGATGTGAAACTAGCAAAGGATTAGAAACGGACAAAACAAATCAGACTAAGACTCAAAGAAAAGTAATCGACCTTCGGCATCGGCTGGGAAACCGAGATAGGGCCCTTCGGCCTGCTCATAATAGCCGGACATCTTCGGCCACAATCCACAATCAGGGTCACCCAGTATGTAGTACCGCATCATCCCAAGAGCAGCCATCTTAAACTCGGTGATATATTTATCAACACTCCACAGCCCACCCTTCAGAAAAGCATCCACTTGGGCATCAATCACTGCGCTCTTCGGCGGTTCGTGCAAGAAGAAAATCCCAAAGTGACCTTGGGAAGGGAAAAAGACGCCATCGGCCAACTTCACAAAGACAAACTTACCTTTCCACCCATGAATGGACGAAGGAAGGTCTATGAAGGACCTCTTCTTTGGAAGTTGTTGAAGAGCGGCATAGCCGGCACAGTTCTCATGGCTCCCTTGGCCAATCCGATAGAGATTAGTGAATAAGGTCGTCGTCAGCTCAATTTTCAACTCGTCGCAACGAAGGAGAAATCCCACAATGAGGGAATAGCTGTTCGGGGTTAACAGGGCCGGTGGGAGTCCTATCATATTCAAGTATTCCACTACGAATGGATGAAGCGGGAACCTCATGCCTTTGGAGAAGCTCATCGGGTACACACCAAAATAACTAGGAGGAGGATCTAAGACGTGATCCGTTGGCTTGGGAGCCCTATCCCGGCCGTAAGGAGCCACATAGAGCTGAGCTACCTGATACTCACAAGGGGAACTCTCCGGCTTAATGATGAACAGGTTAGTCAAATCCAATTGGGAAAGCCCGACGGCCAATCCCTTATGCCGACGCGATCCCCTCTTCTTCTTCGCACGTTCAGAGGACGAAGCGTCGCCCGGAATTGATGACAACGGAGGAGGGAAAGGAACCGCAGCCGAAGAGGCATCGCCGGCAGCATCTCCTCTCAATCCAGCGGCATAGTCCGCTACGTCCTCACCTGAAGGATGGGAGCCCGCATCGTCACTCAACCTCTCTTCATCCACAGAGGTGTGATAGTCAGCTGTGTTTTCCATCTCTAATTCAAAAGCTTCAACTATTTGAAGATTAACCCCGTGGGACGTGCCTTCGTCGTCAAAAGGCCAATCCGACTCGTCTAACGAAGCCGTCAAATCAATAGGGGAGGGAACGCTACGGCCGTTAGGGAACGGCATAACACCTAAGTCTATTCCTAAGGGTGGTTTTTCGGATCAAAGTGACTTTCCTACGAATACTAGATCTTACACCCCAGGGAGCAAAACATGAAGAAAACAAAAGAAAATTAAAGTATCTGACCTTTGAAGATTTGAAGAACGCGATGAACACTTGGAGAATCTCAGGACTTTCTCTCTCTAGAAAAAACTTGGCAGCAATTCGATAACAGCAAGGCACAAATGAGGGAAAGGCTTCGGAATTGGAGGGTATTTATAGACATCCCCTCCAACGGTCACTACACGTGGCACCCATACATTGGCCACACCAACGGCCACCTCTCCTACAGCCAATCAATGAGCATTGATAGGCTCATTTCGTTCCTATCTTTTCACCCATATTTGGGTGTTAATTTTTTAATTTTTATAATTAACCGAGTGACTATTGGGGGGTTTGAGTGAAAATTTGCTATTTTTCGGTCTCGGTGGCATTCGTATTCAGTGTAGTATTTTTCTACACAATTTGACATATTTGGAGTAATTTGATTGTAAAGTTGCATATTATTAGCGGGTGTAGTGAGTTTTGATTTTACAGACTCAAGTTTGCGGTGAATTATTTGGGCCGGATCATTTGAGTGTTGTATTAAAATTTAAGTGCAGCCCAAAAAGAAAAGAAAAAAAGAGCAAACAGCCCAAAGAAAAAAAAAAGCTGCAGCAGTTTCTTCATCCACTTAAGCAGCCCAAAAGAAAAAAACGGATCAGCTGGGGTTTTTCCCCTGGAACGAGCAGCAACACGAAAGGGGGATCTATTATTTTCTTTCTCTTCAGAATGAGCCAGTAGGAGCTCATTTTTTTTCTCTGTTCGTAGAAAGGCAGCCGCACCAGGTTTTCTTCTCAGTTCATTTTAGTTACAAGCAGTCGCAGGGGAGGAATCCTTTCTGTTCCTTGTCACTTAGCCACAACAAGTATTTCTTTTCTTCTTTTGGAATTAGCCGTAGCAACAAGAAAGAACCAAGGAGGTTCCTCAACTTCATCTTTTACATTACTAGTTCTAGCTTTTGGATTGAATTTCGAATTTATATGTCTCCAACTAATAATATAATATCAGAATTTTTCCATCTTTCTTTGATATAATTCAGTTTTTATTTCTAGCTCATTATCATGTTTATCAATATTATTGTGATGTTAGTTTTAATTATGAGTAGCTAATTTCACATAGGGTTTGAATTGAGGCTAGGGTTCATGGGTTCCTAAGGGTGTGAATTTAGTTTTTTGAAATTCAATTAATTTTCTGGTAAATTGTATAAGATTAATCATAATTGTCTATATGCATTTGATCACCTCATATATGAATTTTTGGATTTAATTCAATTCTTGTCTATGAGAAATTGAGTTAAATTAGCTTGGGTCTTATACAAGCAATCTCATCTTAGAAATAAGTTAGGATTGTGAAAATTTGATTTAATTCTTGTCTATAAGAATTTATTTCATTTTCTTTCCAGGAACAATTGAAAATTAATTTACTTAATTCTAATCTCGAAAGAACACCCAGAACCCGAACCATCCAATTTGAACCCTGTTTTAAAATCTAGAATCACTTTAATTTTGTTTCTTCACTCTATTTATTTTTCCACTTGATTTTTTTTAAAACCACCCAAAATCATTATTTGGAAAGATTACCATGACTTGTGCTAGCCTGTGATCACGGACTGTATTTAAAAACTTCCTTTTTGCCACTCCTTGAGAGACGATACTCGTGGTCTGGTTATTCTTTGGATTAGCCAACTACGTTTTACTTCACAAAAAAAACATTGGATTAAATGGCGTCGTTGCCGGGGAGTGGCACGGTTGTTTGTTAAGTACTTTTCTGTGGAATAGGTAAAAGCAAGTCGGTGAGACTTTCTATTTTTTTCTGTTATTTGTTTTTGTTTTTGGTGTTCTTTGCACGTGAACTAAGCTGCAGGAACAAGTGTATGCGCACTCGCTCCTCGGGGGAACAAGATCTATTTGAAGGGTATTCTAATCCTAAACGCTTATTCCGAGGAAGAGCTAAAAGGCGATTGCTAGAACACTTGGAGAAAATGGCTGATCAGACAACTCTAGAGACGTTGATGCCTAATTATGTGGCGAGAAATAGCATTGGGGCACCCAGCATTGAGGCCAACAATTTTGAAATCAAGCCGGCCATGATTCAGATGCTTGCTAATAATCCATTATGTGGATACACTCATGAAGATCAAATGGAGCATATTGAGAGCTTTATTCAGACTTGTGCCACGTTCAAATATAATGGAGTGTCCAGCGAAGCAGTCAGGTTGACTTTATTTCCATTCTCGTTGAAAGACAAAGCTTCACGGTGGCTCCGTAGCTTTCCACACGGGCACTTTGAAACATGGGAGAAGCTTCATCAGGCATTTATGCAGGAGTATTTTCCTCCCTCTGCCGCTATCAAGGTTCAGACAGAAATTCTCAATTTCACTCAAGCTCCGACCGAATCTTTCAGTGAAGCGTGGGATAGGCTGAAGATGTTGAAAAGGAAGTGCCCTGAAACATTCATGAATGCAACCACAATTATGTGCAGATTTTATAATGGTTTTCAGTTGGAGTATATGAGAGAACTCGACTGGGCATCTCAAGGGGGTATGTTTCTGAAATTATCCCCACAGGCAGAAGAGCAAATAATTGAAAACTTTGCTTCAAATGACAAGTATTGGTACGCGGGTAAAGAGAGAGCTCAAAATCCACCCGGTTTGCTCAATCTTGATCCCATCACTGCACTTACAGCGAAGATTTAGGGACTGGTAGTGGACGTGAAAGACTTGAAGGCACAGACTTCTCAGCAGCAGCAGGTCCATAATATTGGAGCATATCAGCCCTCTTATCCTATGTATTCTGCCCCACTTCATGTTCGAGCAAGCTATCCAAGTCCAACCGGCCAAGAACTCGCTTTATCTTGCGAGATGTGCATGGGATCAGCTCACCTCACTCACACATGTCCTCTTTATGTTCAGAATCAGGCATCACCAGTGGTCCAGAACGTCAATTTCATGGAATATGGTCAAGGCCAGAGAGGAGGTGGACAGTTTTTCAACAATCAAGGTTAGAGAGGAAACTTTCAGCAAGCAGGAGGCTCGTGGAGGCCTGAAAATCAGAATCAAGGGCAGCGGAATGCCCCTAATTTTCAAGGAAATTACCAGAATAGAGGCCATCCAAACCAGCCCGCTTATATTCCGCCTCATCAAAGACAGCTTGAGTCACCTCTTGTAAATGCAGTGTTGGAGAAAACAGTGGCTGAATTAGCAAAAAATCAAGTGGAGATGCACCAGCGTTTCAGCAACCTAGAAGCTCTTATCCGCTAGCTTGGTTCGGTTGCTCCACGAGACCAAGGCAGCCTTCCGAGTTCAACAGAACCCAATCTGAGGGAGCATGTGCAGGCTGTTACGCTACGAAGCGGTAGAACCATTCCTGAAGTTGATACTATGCCATTGCCTCTGCCACATCAAAGCGATGACCAGCAACCTCAAGGCTCAGATTCCCAGGAAGTTGAAGAAGAACCAGTGGCTGCCCCTATTCTTGCAAAGAGTAATGAAACTTGTTAGAACTTTTATTGTGAGTCAAGTTTGTCTGTAATGTCTTGTTTAATAAGGTAGACTAGTTATACCATTTATGATATTAGATTAGTAATCATTTTGTAATAAATAGGTTAAAGGGAATAAGGCCCAAAAAGGCCTTGGCCCAAACCTCAAGGTTTACCTAAATCGGTAACCTGTACAGTGCCTATAAATATGCGCCTTGTGTACAAGAACCGATATCGATCAATATAGCTCTTAGCCTTACGCTGCCAAAATAGTTCTCGAGACAATAGAAGAAGAATATCACTTTTAACAAAGTTAATTTTTACGAAGTAGAAGTAAATTTTAATTAATTCCGGCATTTAGTTGTTATTATTGCATAAATTAAATTAAATACTCAAAAAGGTAAAAAAAATTAGTTTCTGTCCTAAATCCAGTTTAATTCACAGTAATATCACTCCCAGTAGTCAATATAAAATTTAGAACGAATTTAGAATAATTTTAGTTGCTTTTTGCATTTTCTAGTTAAAATTGGGGAAATTATCAATTAGTTGTTAAAATTGGATTTTAGGTTCAATAATTCGTGAAAAATTCCAGAAAGTTATACTTTAGTTTCTACAAGTTTATTGTTCCAGAATATAAGTTTTTCTATCATCCATGTTTAATTCCTTGTTAATGTTGAATATATTCATTATATTGTTAATTGTTAAAATGATCTTTATTAGCTAAATTTGTTTTGGGCATGAATTGACTAAAGGAATATGGATTGACTTGTTGACCAAAAAAATTAGGGATTAAAATTAATAATGGGGACTAGTTGTTTGAAATGATGAAATAGTAATTAATAATTGTTAGCCATATTCATTAATTAAATTCTTGGAAAATTATCTCTAACTTGTCTATGAGATTAGAAAATAATTTAAGCCAACCATATTCGAGCACATTAATAAGGCCTAGAAATAGGATAATTTAATGAAAGGGATTTACATCTTGTCTATGAGAGATAAATTCAATTACTTAAATAATGAGTTTAACTAGTTAATGAATTTGGCTATTTTTATTAATTAAAATATTGGAGAATTATTTCTACCTTGTCTATGAGGTTAGAATTTAATTCAAGCCAACCATTTTGAACACATTAATGACACCTAGAAATAGGATAAATTAATGAAAATAGTTTCTATTCTTGTCTATGAGGAAAGAAATTATTAGTCCAATTTTAGTTTTAATTTCCCTAATTACTTGGTCCAAGAATATATCCATTTCTAATTACTCAATTCATTGCCCTTATTTGCATCAATCCATTTAAGTTTAATATTATATTTTTTCCTTTAGTCTATTTTTGAGCCATCATTAGTATTCGCACAATTTAATTTACTTTCTTTTCCAAAAAGTAGTTTAGAAAATCAATCAAAAGTTTTAATTTGGAAAGCTTCCAATAATTTGCGATAACCTGTGACTGGACTTAAAATCAAGAAGCTCCTCCGCCATTCCTCGAGAGACACGATACTCGGGGAAAAACCGAAAGGTTAGACTCCGTTTTACTACAACGCCGCGAAAGCGGTTATCAAAAGGCTGCTGACCTTGGATCACAGCTGAAAGAAAAATTCAAAAAGATATTCTCTGTTGATAAGGAAGGACCCATCCTGCGGTGGGTACCTAAAAGTCATTAATCTCTTTTGCAGAACGGTCATGTGTGGCACTTAGATTCTGGCTGCTCAACCCACATGACCGGTATCAAAGAACTGTTGAGCAATTACGCAAAGTGCTACGGAGGAAATGTGATATTCGGCAACAATGCAGCGTCTCCAATCCTAGGATATGGAGATGTTATCTGTACAAGCGTCACTATAAAGGCTGTTTCATATGTGAAAGGACTGAAGCATAATCTGCTAAGCATTGGACAGTTCTGTGATAATGGTATGGAAGTGAAGTTTATAGCCAGACAATGTTGTGTGCTGGACAGGTTTGGGAAGGTATTATTGACCTGCACAAGAACTTCCAACATGTACACCATTGATCTGAAGAGTGTGCAGTTACATTCTTCCATCTGCCTACTGTCCAAAGCTTCCTCTGAACAAAACAGCCTATGGCACAGACACATATCTCATCTGAACTTCAAAGCAATCACAACTCTGTCTTCCAAGAAACTTGTAAAAGGGCTGCCTCCTTTGAAGACTTCCGCTGACAATCATTGTGATGCCTGCAGACTAGGCAAAATGAAAAGGAGCTCTCACAAGTTAAAACCTGTTCCATCCTCCTCCCGACTGCTGCAACTACTTCACATGGATCTGTGTGGACCGATGAGAGTCCAAAGCATCAATGGACGCAAATATACACTGGTCATTGTGGACGACTTCTCTCGATATACATGGACCAAATTTCTAAGGACAAAGGATGAAACAGCTGCAACCATCATAACCTTCATCAGAACAATCCAAAATTTTCTGCAAAAGAGTGTGGAGATCATCAGAACAGATAATGTTACCGAGTTCAAGAATCAATCTCTTGCTGATTTCTATGAAACTCAGGGTATCACACAGCAATTCTCTGCATCAAAAACACCACAACAGAACGGAATCGTTGAAAGAAAGAATAGAACTCTTGTTGAAGCAGCACGCACCATGCTCATCCAATCAAAGCTTCCCCATTTCATGTGGGCTGAAGCAATCAACACTGTGTGCTTTACTCAGAACAGGACATCAATCCACAAGCGCTTCAGCAAGACACCATATGAAATTCTCTTCAACAGAACTCTGGACATCTCATTCTTCAGAGTGTTTGGCTGCAAGTGCTTTGTGTTAAATGACAGAAATGAAAGAAGCAAGATGGATCCGAAAGCTATCGAAGGAGTATTCATTGGATACTCCACGCAATCAAAGGCATATCGGGTCTATTTACGTGAACGCGGAACAGTCATTGAGAGTGTCAACGTGGCATTCTATGAAATGGCTGACTTTGCTTCTGAACATTTCTTGATAGAACCCACACTCTCTGCTCAAAGAAAGCACTCCGATGAAGCTGAAGCAACAAAGTAAACAACGGCTGACAGTGCGGTTCTTGACTCTCTGTTTGAACATTTCTATGACAATCTTCGCACAACCAATTCTCACTCACCAACAGAAGCTGCATCTCCACCATTCATGCCTGACCTCACTGAAGAAGAAGCTGATTCACCTCCTACATCTGATCAAGAGGATACTGAGGATCATGGCACGGCAGCAACACAAGCAACTTCACCATCACCAGTTTCATCAATATATACCAGCTCAAGCAGATACAGAACCTGAATCGACCCCTGTGCACTCCACTCCTCAACAAACCACATCTACTACTTTTGAGGACCCGGATCACCCCATCATAACTCCAATCCCTCTAACTCATGAGCGGAAATGGACAAAGGCGCATCCTACAGAACAAATTATTGGGGATCCGAGTCGTGGAGTTTGCACGAGAACAGCTACAGCAAATGAATGTCTCTTCTCCTGCTTCATCAGCCAATCTGAGCCAACCAAAGTTTCTGAAGCACTGGCAGATCCTGATTGGGTGATCGCAATGCAGGAGGAGATCAATCAGTTTGAAAGATTAGATGTATGGACCCTGGTGCCGAGGCCCCCGAAGAAAACAATAATTGGCACCAAGTGGGTCTTCAAGAACAAGAAGGATAAAGACGGTGTAATTACAAGGAACAAAGCCCGACTGGTCGCAAAAGGATACAATCAACAAGAAGGAATTGACTATGATGAAACCTTTGCACCAGTGGCTAGAATTGAAGCAATCAGGTTGTTCTTTGCATATGCTGCTCATAAAAGTTTCACCGTCTATCAAATGGATGTGAAGAATGCGTTTCTAAATGGCGAATTAAAAGAAGAAGTGTTCGTGGCACAACCGGAAGGCTTTGTTGATCCTGAACGTCCACATTATGTCTACAAGCTGAAGAAAGCCCTGTATGGTCTGAAACAGGCACCGAGAGCCTGGTACGATGCACTGTCAGATTTCCTTGTACAATCAGGCTACTCGAAGGGAAAGATAGATCTAACTCTCTTTATCGAACAAGAAAACAGTGACATCATGCTGATACAAATCTATGTGGATGACATCATCTTTGCATCGTCCAATCCAAACTTCTGTGAGGAATTCAGCAACTTGATGCGCACTGAGTTCGAAATGAGCATGATGGGAGAGTTGAACTTCTTTCTAGGGCTTCAGATCAAGCAAATGCCAGACGGGATCTTCATCAGTCAGTCAAAGTACATCCATGAAATGCTCAAAAGATTCAAGATGGACAGCAAGTCAACCATGAAAACCCCCATGTCTCCCTCACAAAAGCTCGACTCCGACCCTTCCGGGATATCAGTCGATGCTACCAACTATCGGGCAATCATTGGTTCCTTGCTGTACCTTACATCTAGTAAACCAGATATTGTCTTTGCAACCTGTCTGTGCGCACGCTTTCAAGCGAATCCAAAGGAATCACATCTGAATGCAGTAAAGAGAATCATGAGATACTTGAAAGGAACAGTCAACTTAGGACTTTGGTATCCCAAGGACACGGGTTTTGACCTTGTTGGTTACTCAGATGCTGATTTCGCAGGTTGTAAGCTAGACAGAAAGAGTACATCCGGTGGTGCTCAATTTTTGGGAGAAAAACTAGTCTGCTGGTCCTCCAAGAAGCAGAACTGTGTGTCCACTTCTACAGCCGAGGCAGAGTATGTTGCGGCTGCTAGTTGCTGTTCACAAATCCTATGGATGAGGACCCAACTCAGAGACTATGGCTTCCTGTTCAACCACATCCCCATCTACAGTGACTCTCAAAGTGCAATAGCCATCACCAGCAACCCCGTTCATCACTCGCGCACCAAGCACATCGACCTACGCTATCACTTCATCAAGGACCATGTTGAGAAAGGAGACATTGATCTATACTTTGTAACTACTGAGCTTCAACTGGCTGACTTGTTTACTAAGGTACTGGATGAAAAGAGATTTCAGTTCCTAGTATCTAAGTTAGGCATGTTGAACCTTGATCCGATGTAATTTTGTCGTCTCCATGATCTAAATAAAAGCGTGTGTGTGTGGTGTGCGTTGCATGTGTTGAGGGGGAGAAAAGGGAGAAAATAAAAGAGAGAGGAATACTTTGAGGGGGAGAAAAGACGAAAAAGAGTGTGTGCGTGTGTGTCAGAAGAAAATGAGTGTGTGTGTAAAAAATCAAGAAAAGAAAGAAAAAGAGAGTGTGTGTGTGTAGAAAATCAGAAAAGAAAGAAAAAGAGTGTGTGTGTGTGTTTTTCATTTTTTTTTCATGCACTG